GGTTGCAATGAGATCCCTCTGCTGGGTCATAAAGAAAGCTACATCTGGCAGCCTGATGTGCTGATATTCTGTATTATGAGTTTGAAATGACTCATTACAGATCAAATATGAACTTCTCTCCCTGAGCTCCAATCAAGGTGACATTTTTGATAAAGAAAGGGACAACCCAACTTGCACATATACTTCATGAAATAGCAATTCAGCCGAAATGTCTCTGGGTTGTGTTAAACAACTGTGACCCCCAGTTACATTTAAAAACAACCATATGTGTTATTTGAGGATGTGATTTCTGGGCAAGCATTTCACTGGTCACTAATTGGTCTTCAGGGCAGAAATACCACAGTTTCATAAATAAATGAAATAAAATGTGACAATGCATTAACCTCAGGGTACCCTGTGACATTTAAAAAAACTGACTCAGATTGCCCTTTTTGGCTTACTCACGCACATGTACTAACACATATCGACTTTATGCAAGGAACACAAGATTCTCTTTTAAAAGAAGGCAGCAAAGCTCTTGTATTTTGCTCCCATGGCTGCACATGTTAAGAACAAGAGATGGAATAAGATTCCATTCATGCTCTGCAATTTGGCTTGCTAGGATAATAATAGGAAATGTCAGGGCTGTGAAACAATGTGTCATATTGTATAAGATGTAGGTCAGTTTTGCTTACGTTTGCTGGATTTGTCCCAAGCTGGAAAAAAGAACCACATCATTCACTTTACAAAAAGCAGCCACCTCTGGGGCTGAACGTCAAGCTCATGCTAATTGCCAAAAAAAGTGCAATTCTCTGCAAAAGCCCATTTCACTTAATCATTTTAGTGCACTGTAATAAAATACTTCTTTAACATTTCTAAGGCTGGAGAATATTTATCATTTATGCATGGAAGGTGCTGCTGGTCCTGACATGAACAGATCTTCAAATTCCAAAAAGGGCCATGGCAGAAAAGGTTTGGGAACGACTGAATTAATCAATCACAAATTGATTTGGCATGGAAATTCCTATCGGCTGTAAATGCAGTCATGTAGATTGAGGTGTGCTCAAGGACTCTTCTTCTTCTTTTTCTTTTTAAGTCAACTTTGTTTTATTAACCTTGTTTTTGGCTATATGGATTTCTTTAAGGTTTAAGGACTCTCAGGAACTTGCCTGAAGAAACACTGTTTGAAAAATGAGAGAAAATCAGAAAAGAAGCAGGGGTGTTTGCAGGCATGATATATTTTTCAAAGCCCAATGTTGCTGCTGGACTTAGATGCTCTCCATCACACGTAAACTTGTGTATTTACTTATTTACTTGTGTACTGCATTGCTCTTTACTGCACTATGATAGAATGCTTCTGTTACTAAAATATTACTAAACTTAGCCCACTCAAACCTACCTGTCGCGTTTTGCTACGTCACAAGGACTTCAGCTATAACTACGGTCCATGCTTTTACACCAAACAAGGCTGTTCTTGGAAATAAAGTAAACCCTGTTCCTCAATCATCCCTATAGCCATCAACCTGCACAAAGACTGAGGATCTGTATCTCAAAGCAGGGTAAGGTTACAATCAGGGTGAAATTTTCCCCTTGATATCCTGACAGCCGTTAATAAGAGTCAAAACTGTGATCTGATTGATTTTTTTTTCCGTCAGTTGGCTCATAAAGAGGCCACACTCACTCTTTCCCCTGAGCTTTCACCCTGTCCAAACTGGAAGAAAAAGAAAAGTGGACAGCGCATTGATCTTGAGTTGTGACACAGCCCAAATTCCCCATTGATTGAGACAACAAAGAAACATAGTCATATCCCTCTAAAGAGTATAAAAAAATTTCTGTATCTTACAGTTTTATGTTGAAAAGTCTCTCTCTCTCTATATATATATATATATATAAATATATATACATATATATATATATATATATATATATATATACATACACACATATATATATATATATATATATATATATATATATATATATATATCATACTGCTGTACTTAACACACTGTCAGTTTTTATTTCATGAATTAGTTGCTCCAGTGGAGACTTGAGAGACAGCTGTCCAATTTAGATTTACTGCATGTACAATGAAACTGTCAACTTTCAGGGCAGGTTAAATACCTCTCAAACCGCCCAGCAACAATTACTGTGCTGTGCTGCTATTGATTATCCATAGGAATTATAACCTCTTGGAGGTATTTCCAGATATACATACACACACACACACACACATATATATATATATATATATACATACTTACATATATTATAAAGATACAGATTGGATGATTGGCAGATAACACTTAAAAAGTTGGCATGGGGAAGTGAGTGCTGCTGTAGGTTGACGCTGCTGTTTTTGTGACATGCAGCTGGTGTTTGTGGCTCTGCTACTCTGCTAATGCCACTCCTGTGTTTTTGTCCATTTTAAGTCCGTTATACCCTTCTCTAAGCATCTGATCTATACCCTGGACTTTCTGTGACTTGCTCTCAAGAGTTTCTACCGAAATGGACATTGCATTGTTGTTTGTGAACAACAGTTTTCATTAAATTACGTACACACGGGAGGCTCTCATGGGATTAAGATGGAGCTACCTAGCCCGGAATGATCCCACACACTCTTGGTTGGATATAAGCCCTTCTCAGGATTTACCTTTTATTCATTGGGAGAACTTTGGGAAGCGGCGATGTAGGAAACACAGAAGGAGAGGCGGCGTGCGTCAGCACGTCAGGAAGCTTCAGCTTAAAAACCGTGCTCCTCTTCCCTCAATGATCCTGGCAAATGTTCAGTCCCTGAGATATAAGACTGATGAACTTCAAGGAAATGTTCTCTACTTAAGGGAATACAGGGATGCATGTATCCTGGCCTTTACGGAGACATGGCTGTGAGACTCAGTCCTTGATTCTTTGTTGGAAATCAGCGGCTTTGGCACTCCTGTGCATCTGGACCAGGATAGCGATGTCAGGCGTAAATCTCAGTGAGGCGGAGTGTGCCTGTACATTAACCGCAAAAGGTGCAGTCATGTAACTGTGCGTGAGTGGCTGTGCCTGCCTGATATTGAGCTTTTGTCACATTGATTGATTCTGATTGGAACTGAGCTCCTCTGATCTGGTAAATAAAGAATTAGTATTTTAAAATCACCTTCAAACAGCTGCCCACCTTAGCAAGAATGCCAATATTAAACCAGGGCCTGCCACAGAAAGCCAGCTGGCAAGATATTACTTCATTGGTAGGTCAGATCACCCAGCTGCAACAGTCAGTGTGTTTACATGTAGGCTACATGAAAAAAATCAAGCCCCAAACAGAAAAGGGGAGGACGTAGAAAAAGACAAAACTCAACAAATATCAGAATCAGAACCAGAAGGGGTTTTATTGCCATTGTCAATGAACAGCATTCACAGACTAGGAATTTTTTACAGCGTGATGGTGCAACAGTAAATAATATATAAAATACTAGAATGCCTGATTTTACAGGGAATGCAGGTGAGTTTGTGTGCACAGTCAGCATTGTAGTGGCTGAGGTTGTGCTTAACTGTGTGGTACACCTACGTAAAGGTGTACCACAGAGTTGTTTGAGCACATTTTTGAAATATTTTTTTTTATCTGCCTTCCTTATATAAAATGAATAATGTTAAAATAAAAAAAAAGTACTAAACAGTGCAACACTGGACTTCTCAAATGTACAATTACAATTTTCCATAAAGAGCATGTATTGCTTGTCAAGATACGTTTTTGTTAATTTAGTTTTTCCTGTTTTTGCAATTTAGTTGTATTTTCTGTGTACTTGTTCCTAGTGTTTCTGCTCCCTGTTCCTGTTTCCCAGTGTGCTTTATTCTTATGTTCATGTTGTTCATGATTGTCACGGTTTGGTTTCTTCAGTTTTCAGTGTTTCCTGTTATATTTTGTAGTAGTCAATCCTAGTCTGGTTTTACTTCTTCAGGTTTTGCTCCTCCATTCATCACTCATGAGTCTCACCTGTGACTTGTCTGTCTCACCTGTTGCTTGTTTCCAGGGGCCTTATGTATCAATACTTGCGCGGAACTCATACCAGAAACGAGCGCACGCAAGGTCCGTCACGCTGAAAAAAATCCGTATGTATCAATGTGTGCGGGCGCCGAAATCCGTGTGTGTTTCCTTGATAAATCCCAATCAGCGTGGAATTGAGCGCAGATGTCGGAGTGACTGGGCCCGTCCCCGTTACGCCCTCCTATAAATATGCAGATTTATTTAAATAGGGTCTCCCTGTCCTCGCACGCAGACAAAATGACAAGAAAAACTAAATTTACGGCGTGCGAGGTGGAGGTGCTGGTGGCGGAGGTGGAGGAGCGACAGCGTGTTTTGTTTGGCAGCCTGTCAAGTGGCATCAGTGCAAAACAAAAACGCTTGGAGTGGGAGAAAGTTTGCGAGAGGGTGAATGCGGTGGGTTCCGAGACACGCACCCCCGCGACGATTAAAAAAAAGTGGTCGGACCTCAAGGTGGCGGTCAAGCGGCGTACAGCTGCCCTCCGGAGGAGTACTGGCCAGACGGGTGGGGGTCCGGGGGAGGAGACCCTCACACCGTTTGAGCAGCGGGTGGTGGCGATTATTATTATAGGGTAAGTGGCGTGTCACACAAATGTCCACATGCTTTGTCATCCCACTGAGCAAAAGACGTATATTAGACGTCTAGTCTAAGTTTATACTTCATTTCAACGTCGGGATTCAGTCTATTTTTAGATGTGATTTATACTTCGCCCTTAACCTCATTTTTCGATAACTTTTTATGCAATAAACAACTGTAATGTGCATAACTGACTTCTAAATACTGGACTACATTACCTATGATACCATGGAGAGAGATGTAAACGCAACAGATACACAGAAGCAGGAATTGAAATTAACAAATATTTTTATTGTGTCACAGAAATCAATGTGTCGGCCGTGTCGCCGGCTTGCGGAACCCTGGCCCGCAGTAGCTCGGAGTCGTCGGCCAGGACCAGCGGCATTCGGGCCACCCCGGCCCCCGGCCCCAGCACCAGCACCAGCACCAGCACCAGCATCAGCACCAGCGCGCCGACAAGCGGTGGAGCGTCCACCAGCCGCAGCGCTTCCGCTGGACCACCCGGACGCAGTGGAAGGGTCCTCGCGGAGGGGGTCCTGCAATCGCAGGAAGAAATCATCAGGGGGATCGCGGGGATCAACGAGCGGCTGGACCGGCTCGTAAATGTCCTCGAGCGTCTGGTGGAGAAAATAAATTAATTTGGCTCATTGAACTGTGTATTCACTTCTTACCCATTCACACTGTGGCGATGAGATTCTCCCGCGCGAGGACGGCGGCCCGGCAGGGATCAGCTCGCATCCCTCCGTCTGCTGCTGGTTCGTCATGTGGGGCGACGTGCTGCTCGGCCACGGGGATGTGGTGCATGCTTGTCACATAGTGAGTCACCAAACACCACCACACAGCATCGCCAAAGTGCGAATCACAGTCAACGCAAGTATCGGCTCAACGCCAATTTCTACACCACCTCCTGACTTTGCGTTGATTAGCGCTGGAACCGACGCTCGTTTCGCGATGATAAATCTGGACGTGTGCGCCGATTTTGGCGTACGCAAGGTTTTCTTGCGCCGCAAGCATTGATACATAAGGCCCCTGGTGTCTGTATATAGTCCCTGTCTTCTCCTATTTCTTTGTTGGTTCATTGTGTTCTTAGATCATGTCTGTTTCGAGGCCTATCCTACCACGTGCTTTCCCCCTGTGCCTTTTTAAGTCTTAGGTTGTAGGCTCCTTTTCTCGCAAAGTTTTTGTTGGACCTTTCCCGTTTGATTTTGCTTTAATAAATCTCTTAAGATTCTGCCAGTGGGTCCTCCCTTTTGTTTTGTGTTCATATCATGACACTGCTACTGCACTGCTTTTCTTCCTCAGAAGAGCTAACAGACTGAAAGTCAGAAAAGGAATCATTATCCTGAAGATTTTTGATGTCCCATGAAAGAGACTATCAAAAGGGGTTCAAAAAGCTGTCATTGCCATATAAGTCTTGAGATAAACAGAACAGCTAAACAATGGTTTGGCTTTTCAGAGTTTGCAGTTAGGTATATGCTATAAACAACATTAAACGCTCAACCACAAAGCTTGCAGTTAGCTTTGTCCAACTAAACATCACCAATGATGTCCCTCTGAGCTCTAACTACTCGCAGCTGAGTGCACTGCCCTTCTTTTTACCCTGAGTTCCCTGCGTGAGTTGGATCAACATTGGTGAATGGGGGCAGTCTACCCTCTGGAGGACTTCCAGCCCAAACATCCGCACTGGAAGGGGTCGCTCTTAAGTTCTGTCTGCACTGAGTGGTGCCGGTTTCATTTAGCATTTTGCCATTTTTCTGTTTCATGTTGACCTAAGAGTTTTATTTCTTTCTTTTTTTTTGTCCCACATCAGCCTCTGTTAAGAAACAGAAATAACTCAGGACTAAAAAAATCCTTGTTTTCCATGTGAGGAAGCACCGGATGCTGTCTGGCCACCCTGTTGCCAACACAGTTTGAGGAGGGATGTGTGAATGGACTGGAGACGGTGTAAACAAAAATTCATGATGTTTAATAAATGTAAATAAAATAAAATATATCAAGGTAAGGGTTAGTTCATTTCATTTTTATCATAACACTTTACAATAAACATGCAACTTTCTCTCTCTATCCAGCTCATTGAATCTAGCACTATAAGGATGACAGCATTGCAGAGCGTAAAGAGGCAAACAGCTCATCTAAGCCACAAACAGATGCAAAACTTGAGCAAACTGCACAGATTTGCACAACTTTATGGGCTTTTTGCACTTGGATATCATGTGCTAAATTTACAGTACAGGCCAAAAGTTTGGACACACTTTCTCATTCAATGTCTTTTCAGGGTTACTTCAGGCACTCCTGTGAAGTAAAAACCATTTCAGGTGACTACCTCATGAAGCTCATTGAGAGAACAGCTAAAGTTTGCAGCGCTATCAAAAAAGCAAAGGGTGGCTACTTTGAGAAATCTAAAATATAATACATGTTTTCAGTTATTTCACACTTTTTTCTTAAGCACATGATTCCACATGTGTTCATTCATAGTTTTGAGAATCTACAATTTAAATAGTAATGAAAACAAAGAAAATGCATTGAATGAGAAGGTGTGTCCAAACTTTCGGCCTGTACTGTACATTGTGAGTTAGACCTTTAGATGGTGCAATTAGAGGGGGCAAATCATGCGTATTGTGCACCAACTTGCTGCAATCCACGCCATCCAGTTTTTCAATCTACCTATACCTAGCATGTCTCCGAATCTCTGTGTATGTGGTGTCAGTAATGTGCTCATGTTGCTGAGGTTTTTTTTTGTCACTGCACTCATATTAATGAGAGCAGTCTCTTTGTTTTACCTCCTCCTCTCCCTCCCTCTTGTGTGTACTTTCCCCATCTGTAGATGCAATTTCATTGTGCACAAGTGCAATGACAATAAAGTCCATACCATACCATACCATACCATTTAGTAGACTAACGGGTTTTAATATAATTATGCATAATAATGCACATAAAGGCAGGTCTGCATTCTGCCTCATACCTCCTCCAGACTTCTTCCTTCTTTATTAAGAAAGGCCCACTGAAGGAAAAAGCAATCGCTGTGGAAACTTGGGGGGGAAAAGAAGTGAAGTATAGAATAATCAGTACCTACGAATCAGATTTAGCATCTACCTTTATTTGCATCTACCCACGTCCCCTCTTTCCTTTGTCTGTTCTTCACCCATGAGGTGGCTGTGCTGCTTAGAAAGGCAGACAGTCTTTAATCATGGAGCATTCTGGCTAAGTGTGGGTGGGTGAGTAATTGCGTCTGTAAGTGAGTTTGTGTGTTTGTAGAGTGTGTGGGGAGTTTCAGGGACATGAATTTATCATTGATAAAATAGATGTTACAGCCAGTAAAAGATGCATTAACACACATAAATGCGCACTCATATACACAGCTCAGAATAAGTCTATTATGTTGGCAATGATAGCTCTGCTCTTAGCTCTTGGCTTCTGTTTGGGGCCAAAGGGCTGTTATTACAATGTAGGAGATAAACCAGGATACACACATACAAACACAGAGGGTGAGGAATATTGAGCGGAGAATGGTCGAGGTCAGCAGGATCCAGGTTCTTGTAATGGAATGATTGGAGATGGGGCTGCCTGGAGAAATATGTGGAGGGCAGACCTATAGATTCTAAGATGACATTTACATGATGTTTGGCTTCCCTTTCTACAAAGCACAGTTGTGGTACACAATAATAAAGTGTATTGTTATGTATTTAAATAACCGCTAACAGGGAATGAGTACAGTCCAGCTCAGATAGTAATGGCAATTCTGACAAATACCTGGCTGACTATTAGAAAAGTGAAAGTGGTAACCTCTGGTCTTGACAAATCAAGCTTATGTGTACTAGCTGAAACTGCTGTTCTCCAAGTACCAGAAACCACATACACACTGATCCAAAAAGGCCGATTTCGACAGCAAAAATAAACATGTTTACAACCTGGTCCAACATGGTGTACGTTTGAATACCTCAAGGCTCCCAGGCACCCACTGTGCAAGGAGTAAATTATTATTATTAATGTCACAAGATTGGTGAAACTTGGCAGAACTTACTCAACTGACAGACAGTAGCTTTTTATGAGAAGGCTAAAGGCCTTCTTTTGGTACCAAAAGTTAGGTTGATTCAGCTTTACAAGTATGATTCCTTTCCACTGGGCTGATCAGTTCCTGATGTCTCAAGGAGGATTTGGGTGAAGCAGTGGCGGCTGGTATACGAGGGTGCTGCGGGCGGAGCCCCACCTGAGCTGCGTGAGCAAAAAGAGTAAGGACATGGCGCTATCATATTTATCATTCCATTTAATGTGTATTTCAATGTTTGTTGTCTCACACATGCTCAGATCACAGTTGTGCATTAGTTTCAGGGGCGCTACGGGCCAGCGCCCAAGCTTTCTGCTCTCTCATGCATGCTCAGATTGCAGTTCTGCATTAAAATAGTAGCTTATCCTAGCCAAATAAAAAAATCCTTAAGGGACGAGCGCCCAAGCGTCCCTAATTTGAATGACGTAAGCACGTTCATAACCAGATTGGCCACAAACGGACGCAGAGCTACAATGTGCGTCTGACGTAGCTAGCTGCTCTACTCAGAGCCGGTCCGCCCCTCACTCTGCACTTGGCGACCACAAACCCCCTACCGAGTGATTTACTGGAGAACGCTGCGCTGTCCAACAAGTAGGTCCTGTTTGAAAGGAGAACTCTGCAGGACTAAACAAAGCTGAAAGAGCTTGGTCCATATCGACCAGATGTCGCCGCTTAGCAACTGACCACCGAGAAGAGCAGACAATATACGCGGACATTTTTAAAAGCATAGTATAGGCGCTAAGCATGGCTAAGCGGACGTCCGAAGAGTAAGGCTCTTTTTTGTTTCCCGTGTAAATTAATGGTGACAAAAAAAATTATGAAGCTGGCAAAATAAAATTTTGGCTACTGAAACAGTCAATCAGCCAAATCTGTTTGTAAAAATTAGAGTATATAAAGTTTAAAACATAATATAACCCATAAATTTATTATAGTGAGACACTGCATAAAAGCCAGACTAAAAAGAAAGCTAACAGACAATGTTCATGCCACAATGTCAGAAATCAATAAATTTTAAGGCAGGATGAAAACGTCCTGGAGAATGATTTCTATAAAAGAGTGGGAACCTGTATTTGTTCACCCAGTTTCAATTCAGTTCAGCTGAAATATCAAATGTATTGTTCTGTATTTAAAGCAAATGTTTGTGTTGTTTTCCTTGGCTGATCACTTTGATATGCAGCCTGATTTGTTATAAATGTGAGTCTGCTCTTCACTATTTTTCTGCAGTTGTCTTTGTGTACTCCTTTGCTGTAGCCTAACCTGTTGAGATGCAGGTGGATGTACACGAGTAAGAGTATGCTGCTGTCAGTTTCTATATCATAGGATTGCATTGAATGTAGGTAGGCTGTGTGTCAGCTATAATACCCTGTTAATAAGTTGAAATACAGTATCCCCACCCCATTTGTCTTTGTAGGTCAACATTTATTTTTCCTGAATTACTTTCTTAGAAAGCACCAGAATGTTTCATATACCTTTTTAAAAATAAAAAAAAAATCTCTCGGGGAGGATACCCCCGGACCCCCCTACAGGGCTCTGGTTTCCAAAACTTCAGCCCCACCTATTATTTTTCTCACCAGCCACCACTGGGGTGAAGGAAGAAAAGCCTGGTACCTCACTGCTCTGTCATCAACAAATGCTGGCATAAAAAAGTGTAGACATCTAATATAAGACAATTCCACTTTTTTCACATCACAAGTTAATAACACTATGTAATCTAAGCTCCAGAGACAGTCCCCCATGCAGAGGCACAGTCACCGGGCTGAGTCCATTACAGAACTGAAATGAGTAATAGCTGTGTAAAATATTTTAGAACAATCAAATATTCATTTTCTGGTTTTAAAACTGTTTTAAGACATATTCAAACAAATATTCAGTGTTTTTTTTTTTTTTTTTGTAGTTAATTTTTTGTGTTTCTAGTCTGGTTTTACTTCTCAAGAGGTAGAGCTGGGTGTCATCTGTAAAGGAGTAAAACTGGATGTTGAATT